AGTCCAAATAGTGCTAAGAGGAAAATACTGGGATGTCCCAGTATGTTACTGTCATATTACAATTATTGATCTAACTCATAGATCTATAATAAAATAATAGATACATATCAGGAAATTTGTTTCCTGATATATACTTATTATTCAACAGAAGAGAATGTTGTTGTTACTCAACTAATTTTATACACAGTGTGAAACATATAAAAAAATGATTTTACAATACTTGATCAGACTTAATCAGTTAGCTAATACATGTTATGATTAGAATCCTATACCATTTTTTATAATTAAAAATGATGTGAGATTCTAATCATAACATGTACTAGCTAACTGATCAAGTCCAATCAAGTATTGTAAAATCATTTTTTTATGTGTTTCACACCATGTGTAAAATCAGTCAAGTAACAACAACATTCTCTTCTGTTCCATTATTTATTGATTCAACCTGTGTATGCTATGTTAACTAGTAATGTTAACCAAACCCAAACAATTTGTGACTTTACCTAATTTGGAGTTTGGGAATTTTTTCTTGCATCACTAAACAATTTGTCTTGATTTATGCTATACTGTATATAAGATTACAACTAACTATGATACTATTGTTGAATCTAGTAAAAACTTTTGTTTACATTGCTAATATATATTAATTCGTCAATATGCATATTGTCTCAATATAGTAGGCTTAAACAATTACAATACTGATGCAATTCCTTAAAATTACTAATTATACATATATACATTCATATGCAAGAGACTAATCGCAACTAACAATTTCAGCTAATTAAAGTATAAAAATTAACACGACGATATAATCACTATATATTAGGTATTTGCTTTATATAAAGATTATACCTTAAATGAAGCTAAAACACTACATATAATTTGTCAAAATAAAGCACATATACTAGTAAATGAATAAAATAAAGCTATACAATATATCCATTATTGATAACAACTTTAAATCTATACAAATAATTTTTCGTTAGCTTTTAAGCACATAATTAGATCAACATTTTATATCAACAAAATTAAGTACTTTGCAATTCTTCTGGTAATGGCCCAAACCATCATACTTTTTGCACTGATGTTAATTTGCCATAGGTTTTGATACTTTATGTGCTGGTTTTAAATGTTTGGTACCTTTAGAATGACCTCTATCATAGTAAATTTTTGGGTTGAGAATCATAGGATCACTATTTTCTTTTTCATCATTCAGATTATCAATTTCTTGTAAATCATCTGATTCGAATTCATTATCTTCAACAAAATCCTCAAGCAGTTCAATTAAATTTTGTGATTTTGTTTTATTCTGCAATGCTTTATGAAGGGCCCTTTTGTATGTGCCATGAATATTTCCATACATCATTTTTTGTTCAAGAGTTGTCAAATTTTCTGCTCAAAAAGCAGACTTCTCTTGTTTAATATACAAATACGGAACTGGAAAATCAGGTGCTTTTGGTACTTCTATAGAAAACTTGTTCACCATTATAAATGGCTCCTCTGTGCCAATTTCTTTTGTACTGTACCAATATGAAGGCAGCATCCAAATGTGAAACTTTGCATTATTTGTACTTAACATCACCTAAAAATAATGCTGACATACTATATCACATCATATAATAGATAAACAAAAACATAGATACAACTGATTCTTTAATAACAAAACATAATGCTTTATTTTTGTTGAATTTTCAGCACAAATAGCCCAAGTCTTCTAAATATTGTTCAAGCTGGCAAATTCAATCAGTTGATTAAAACTAGTTTGCATATTATCACTATTAAATTCTTCATAAAAATTATTAGAATTATTATCCTATTAAAAACAACTTTAATATACTACACTATATTTATTCAAAATTCAAACAAAATAATAATTAGACCCTCATTTCACTAGAATACATAAGATCTTTAATTACATTCGACATATAATAAACCAACTAGTTAATTTCATTATGTTGCATTTATAAAATAGTTAGCATAAGGAACTTTTGAATACACTTGTCAACATTAGTAAACAAAAAGTTCATTTTATCTTGATTTTTTATGTTTGAAATCGAGAGTTTCCAAAATTTATATTCGTTCTTTCTATTCTAAATATCCAAGAGCCTAGTAATCTCAGTTAAAAGGCCATATAAAAAGACATTTGAACTATGTAATAAATGATTTAGGCATGCATTTACTAATTCAACTTGTGATGTGGCAATTATTCCTTTGGTAAACTTGAACCATGTAAAACAATAGGCCTAATAAGCTTTTGATTTAAAAAAAAACTCTAAATAACTTTTAGTACTAGAATAATCTTGAGTAAGTTTATTAAACTGTTGATAAAAGAAATTTTTAGAGAAACTATTACAGCAAATATAAAAGTCTTTAAGAAAGTTTTGGTATATATCACCTAGCAGCTTTTTGAGATTTTTATATAGATTTTGTGTTAAATGATAAGCACAATGAATCAGATATGTCATAGTAAATACTTGACGAACCATAGCATCAACTGCTGGATTAGCCTCAGTAAGAATAACAGCTAGATAAACATTTGTAGCTTTAATGATTTCTGTAAAAGCCCACTTATATGAGCTAACACTTTTATCACAAAGGAGTACTTGCACTAATAAAATGTTTTTGCGATTACTGTTAAACTCAACCAACAATGACAATGCCATTCCATAATAATTAGTCTTGTGGATAACATTATGTAAAATATAGTCTGAGTATTGGATTTAATTTTTAACTTAACCTGGCATCATCCAGAGTAAATGCATTAAGGTATTGTCTTCATCAAACTTATGTGCAACAATCTAATGAGAATCTATATCTTTTTTCTGGTCAAGCCAGTTGGAAACCTATAAAGTAATATATCAAACCTAATTTATATCATTTGCTTATATATAATAATAGACTAGATTATACCTTTGCTGCATCATTTAGTAATGATTTGTTAGTAGGATAAAATTTTTAAATTGCAGAATACAGGTCTTTTGAGCATATTGTTCATGTTGGATACTTGCTTTCTAGGAACTTTCTTTGTACAGTTGCTCCAAATTTGCAATTTTTAGTCATAAATTTTACATTAGCCAGCATTTCAGCAATAAATTGTTTTCCATCTTCAAACATAATTCTACTTGGGTTCAATAGATGGTTATAAGTATCACCTATTTTATTAATAAATATAGAATGTTCTATATTATTAATTTTAGAGCATGAGGTATTGACAAGATAAGGATATTGTGTCTTTTTAGTAACTGTATTTTTTTTAGTATTCAATTCATAAAAGCCTTCATGATTACATAAATAAGTTCTTTGATGAAGAACTCCATTTTCCCGAGTAATGTGACCTTTAATAAAATGAAATCTCTTATCCCTTGCCTATTTATTGAGGAATAACTCGCATTTATCTCATGTACCAAATTTTTTTTCAGAAAATAAGAATGATGATTCTATTTCATTTTGTGACATCATATCATCATGGCTCTCTATTAATAACAAAATAAACAATATTAACACATTAATGTCATATTTAACAATATCCTTATTATTTATGACAAACTCTTAACAAACCTATTTCAAATTCAGAATCTATGGCTCCTTCATTTATAAAATCATTTGAAACTTCACCCATAAAATATTTTTAATCTTCATTCTCTTCATTTATAACAAGGAAATCTTCCAGTTTTTCATTTACAATTAAAAAATTATCTATGTTTTTATCTATAGTGAAATGTAAACAACAACTCAAAAAAAACTAGTTTGTAATATGAGCATCAGAAAAAGAGTTATGATCGAAGTAAGAAAGTTCACAACACTTATTATACTTATAAGCAAAAGGCACTGGTATGATTGAAGTCAGCTTTGGATGAAGCAAAACTTGAAGTTTATTGATGTACTATTGAAATAAAGAACATCAAAAAATTAAGTTATGATCGAAGTAAGAAAGTTCACAACACTTATTATACTTATAAGCAAAAGGCACTAATATTATCAAAGTCAGCTTTGGGTAGAGCAAAACTTGATGTACTATTGAAATAAAGAACATCAGAAAAAAGTTATGATCGAAGTATGAAAGTTCACAACACTTATTATACTTACAAGCTTAATGAAACTACACACTTGCAGTTATGAACAAAACTATACACTAGTATTTTAACAAAGTCATGAGCGAAACCACAACAACTCAAAAAAAACTAGTTTGTAATATGAGTATCAGAAAAAGAGTTATGATTGAAGTATTAAAGTTTACAATACTTATTATACTTATCAAAAAAAGGCACTGATATGATCAAAGTCAGCTTTGGGTGAAGCAAAACCTGAAGGTTATTGATGTACTATTGAAATAAAGAACATTAGAAAATTGAGTTATGATCGAAGTAAGAAAGTTCATAACACTTATTATACTTACAAGCAAAAGGCACTAGTATGATCGAAGTTGGCTTTGGATAGAGCAAAACCTGAAGATTATTGATGTACTATCGAAATAAAGAACATCAGAAAATTGAGTTATGATCAAAGTAAGAAAGTTCAAAACACTTATTATACTTACAAGCAAAAGGTACTAGTATGATTGAAGTCAGCTTTGGGTAGAGCAAAACCTGAAGGTTATTAATGTACTATCGAAATAAAGAACATCAGAAAAAGAGTTATGATCGAAGTATAAAAGTTTACAACACTTATTATACTTACAAGCTTAACGAAACCACATACTTGCAGCTATGAATGAAACCACACACTAGTACTTCAACAAAGTTATGAACAAAACCCACACTTGCACTTCAACAAAGTTACAGATGAAATCCACACTTGCACTTCAATGAAGTTATAGACAAAACCCACACTTGCACTTCAACAAACTCACGAATGAAAACATACACTTGCACTTCAACAAACTTACAGACAAAACTACACACATAGACAAAACTATACACACAGACAAAACCACATGCACATGAACAAAACTATACACTTGCACTTCAATGAACTCACAGAAGCTTTAGCCTAAAATTACCATAGCTATCCAAATAGTACTTGTATTATCAAATTGACGTTTTACATCTGCTAAAATAAAGAATGTTAGAAAAGAAATATAAATGAAATTAGACACTCATTACTAAGTTCTACTTACAAGAAAATAGGTACCAGTATAATCAAAATTGTTTGGGTGAAGCTTTATAGCTTTCTAGTAAAACTTTAAAGCAGTAAAGGTTTAACAAAACTCTTAGTTATTGTTGTCAAGTAAAATTCGAATGCTAATGCTACAAATGTGGTAAGCAATTTAGACCCTTACTTTTGTATAACTTTACTTAATAAATTACACAACTTCTTATTACTACTTCTTTCTTCTACACCTTCGGTTATACTCTCATATAAAAAAGATGCTTTTGATAAGGGTAAGTATAAATAAAATGACAAAAACTATTCTTGTATTTAAAGTAGTATAGAATTTGTGGCGATCACATAACTTATAGGGTATAGGAGGTATGCATTATAGTGCATATGCAAAAAATTAAAAATTTCTATAAAATATATATATATATATTTTTTTGGTATTAAGATGACCTTTTTGGTCTTTTGACTTTTATTAATTACTTATCAGTATTGTGGTTCAATGAACCACTACAGGTGAGAGTACAATTGGCTACACATATAACTTTTTTATATTACCTATTTAAGGAGTCCACCTGAAGGTTCTCTACCAATTGCTATACCTAACACTCTTGCTTGGGTGTTTCACTTTAAGTCCTCTGAATCTGTAACCTATGTTAACTTACTGGGTCATACCTAGATGCCCAAATTATCATCTCAATCTTAGAACTAATTTATTTTTGAGATAAACCCCCAGAGCCTTCTGTACCTATTTTTATAGCTGATCTAGGTATCGCTATAGCAAAACCAACACTTGTGGTCAGGACTAACTATTAAACTGCTATGCTCTTATAGAGTTCACTTAGACCCCAGCATCTACTTCACAGTATAACCCCAGTACTTTAGTATACCTTTGCCTTTTTACCTGCCTTTATACCAAACTTTCAATTCAGATAGCCTATGTAAAACTATAACCAGTCTATCAGTATATCAGATCAGCCCAATATTCTTTTTCTTCAGTTTGTTCTAGTGGTCTGATTGGTGAAACCCTCAAGACTTCTAACCTAAAAGTTCTTGCCTGTCTGGCTACTACAACCAGATACTATAACCTTGATATTCTTTCTCTAAGCTAGCCTTTACAGTAGAGCTGTTAAAGATTCAGCTACCTCTCTACTTGGGTCTTCCCAAATGAACTTCTTGTTACCTAATTTCAATAGATTTACATGTTCACAAGAACTTATTTAGTGTTTGCACCATTCGATTTGTTGGTTTGCATTTCTCTATATAATGCCATATTTACACAAATGCTCTATGACCTGCCAGTTATACTAGTATGACTACCATTACAAGTATTCTAATCTAATCATTTGTAACAGTTGCTATAATATGAATATTATATAAATGATTATCCAAATTTTTATTATCAATAAGATTTGAACACTTAATTTACTACTTGAAGGTTAACAACCTGACCACTTCACTAGGTTACCACATTTTGTTAGATCTAATTTATTATTAAAATCTAAATAGAATAAATTATATTTTTTATAAATATTTTAAATATATTTGAAGCATAGTAAAATATTTTAAATCAATTTAAAAATTTGCAATAATTATTGAAATAATTAGATAAAATTTAAAATAATATAAAAATTTTTAAAATAATTAGTAAATAGAATATATCTATAAAATAATTTAGTTATTTTTACAAATATTTGAGTTATTTTAATAAAATTCAAAAAATTGCAAATTTATAATATAGTAAAAATATTAAAAATTTTTTTTTATTTCTATAAAATTTAAATAATTATCTCAAAATTTTTTAAATTATTATTATTGAATTCTTTATTTTGACTTATAATATATATATTATTTCAGTTTTTATAAACTTTTAATAATTTTTTTGTTTAATATTTCATTATTGATTAAGTTATTCAAAACAAATATCATAATCTTCATAAGTCTACAATATTCATTAGTTATAAATCTAGAAATTAATTAAATTCTATACTTAAATATTTTAAGTTCTAAATATCTTAAAATATCTGCTAATCTTTTATCTATTTTATTTATTATTGAAGTTTCATATAGATTTTTCAAAAGATTGTACATAAATGTAATTTGATAATTAAATAATTCAAAATCTAAATAATGTATTCTATCAATTACTATAGCTTTATAAATGCTATGAAAAAAAAACGGCAACTCTGTCTGCAGATCACTTATACCAAATTTTTGCTAAAAACATTTAATTATTCTCAAGTATT